GGTTTCCCTAATTATTTATCAGAACATTTAAATTTAAATATTTATTATTTAATATAATAACATGGTTTCATTTTTTTGTTTATATTTTTCATAAATTAATATATTTATAATTTTTTAGTATATTGTTATAATTTTTACATATAATTATTTTAGATTACAATTTTCAATTCAAATAATATCAAGTTGAACACGATCGAACACATGACTGTTTATGTTTTGCTCGTCTATAAATAATTTCCTTAGCAAGTTGAACATGAGTTGTTCGCAAATGAAGTTTTTGACAACTCTAAGTGATAATGATTTTGCCTTCCTCCTCTCACCGAAAAATGGAGTTTGTTTGCATAAAAATTGTCTGATCTAGTAGATTCAACAGTCGGATCTTGACCCAAACTGATAAAAAATAATCAATGAGTCACGGTGAATGTTCTACCCTAAGCATTTGGTCCTTAACCTATGAAAAGGGCCTCTAAGTTTGAAGCCTGAGAGCAAGAGAGAAGGCGGGGGGGTGGGGGGGTGTTGGGAGAAATTACCCAAATGCAAAACTAAAGGGCAATTCCATGCAAGCCAAACATTGGAGGAGGATAGATCAAGCACTTCTTCTTTAAACATCAAGGTCTGAGAATGCTTGGAATGCTCTAGAGACCAACACCACCCATGATCTTGGCAGAGTTGGCCACAAGAGCTCACCTTAGCATGATAGAGTGAGGGGAATGGTAGGGAATGCTCGTCTTGGCTCAAGGAATCTCCTATGAGTTCATTTGAGAGGAAGGAATCAAATTTTTGGGGGGATTCAAAATTCCTCTCCTTGTATGGCTTAGGCAGCCATGAGAATGGCCAATTGGCCATCCTACATCTTTGAGGAGGTCCATTCAATGGTCAAGGGTCACTTTTGCAATGCCTTCAAGGACCTTGAGCTTTATTGGTGAGTAGAGGTAGTGGGGAAGTGGTTGAGGCGGAAATTCCTTTTGGTCAGAGCTCGAGGAGGCTAAGGCAACTCTAGCAGATGACAGGGGGTGCTTTCTCCCTTAAGAAAGATGCTAGTGGTCTAGGCAAATGAATAGGCTGAGAGGTTGGGTTAAATGGCTAAAGAGATGGCCAAGGTTGATTTTTTAGAGGTGAGGACCTCTCAGACTGGTCATAGGTGGGTGCCACGATGGCCACAGATGGCTGCCATGACTGTTGGGATGGTCAGAACTAGGTGGGCAATCCTAAGAGAGGGTTGAAATCACAAATAGGAGGCCTTCATTGTTGATGGGGAGAGAAAATGGACATGGGTTTTCCATAGAGAGGCTTTTGTGTGCAATTGAGTTAGCCATGGGCTAGCTTGGGCTCTCATGGATTTAAGTGGTGCAATTATTCTTGAGATAGCTTAAGTTGGGTTTGAATTTGGTTATTTTTAACTTAGTTTTGGGTTTAATTAGACTTTTGGATAAGTTTAAGTTAGATATGGCTAGGCTTGATTTGAGTTTTGTTTAAGTTGGTATTTACCATTAAGCTTAGGTTTAAGAATGGATTGGAATCACTTCCATTAGGTTTAGATTTGATTTAATTAATTAGGTTTTAGTTCAGTTTAAGTTTGAATTATTTGATGTTCAGTTTTAGTCCAAATCAATCTAGCTTTTGAAATGGATCAATATTATGTTAAACATATAGGTTGGTTTGGTTTTTCATTTAGGATTTCTTTTAGTTTAATTTTAGTTTATGTTAATCATAAATTAATTTAGTTTGGGTTTTAGTTCGTCTTAAGTTTAAATTGACTTTAGGTTTGATATTTTTTTTTAAGATTTAGTTTAAGATTTAAATGCATATTTGGTTTTAAGTTTGATTTAGGTAATTTAAGTTTAGATTTAGTTTTACTTAGGGTTAATTTTTCTTGGTTGGTTTAATTTTAAGACACACACACAAACACACACATATTTGTGTGTATGTATATGTATGTATATGTATGTATGTATGTATGTATGTATGTGTGTGTGTGTGTGTAATCTGAAAAAGAAGATGGCGACAACTGGTTCTACTAGGTGGGGCAATACGGCTGCAGCTGTGGAAAAATGATGGCGGATGGGCGGTTTGGGGATACGTTGAGAAGGTCACAAAAACACTAATGTAGATTACATAAGTTTGTAGAAGTGGCTAAATAATTAAGAGTTTCAACCACAAGGTCTTTATCTATTAATGTTTCTACCATATGGAATTAAATTATCAGCATGTTAGGGGTTTTAATTTATTTATGACAATATTTTCTTTCACTATGAAATTAGAGATAATAATTATAAATGGTTTCCAACTAATTCAGATTGGTTGAAATATGAGAAAATCAATAAGTTTTTTTTAAGTTTTCACTATTACAAAGTTAACCTCTGGTGCTCTTTATTCAGCTTTAAATATATTTTTACTTGGAGTTATGCATGTTATAAAGATTCTGATAGAGAAGTCAATGTTAAAAGATGATTATACAAAAAAATGGCTTTCAATATGCAAATTAAACAGCAAAATATTGCGGGGAATGCAATAATTTGATGTTTATTGCACCAATTTTAAGCTATAGATTGAAACTCAAGTTTATTAATTAGACATTTTTGAAAATAATGTCACATGATGAGGTTGTTAATGCATTGGTTTATGCATCTAGTTGGATTCGATCCACTTAAAAAAATTGTAAAGACACATTTGGTAATCATTTCATTAAATATACTTTTTCTAGCTTTTCTTCTTTCTTCTTACTACTAAACATTAAATTTATTTTATTTAATTATTCTCAACAAGAGATACTTGAAGAAGGAAAACTTAATATCCAATTGTCAGACATATGAAACCAACTCTACCTTACACAAGACTTTTGATAGCTTTGAATTTATATAACTATTAGAAGTTTGAACTTTACACACTATTTTTTTAGCTTATGTAGTCATGTTATTCATGTTGTCATTGATTTGATATTATGTGTATTTTGTGTATACTTATATGTATTTTTTTATGCAGAGCAGCTTTGTAGCTCTTCCATACCCGGTATAACACAATCTTGTACAATCATATAGAAGATTATGATTATGAAAGAGGCTATAATGATATCTAAGATGATCATCTATGCTACAGATGACATAGCTTAATTACATGATGCAACCATTTATAAGAAGTCGATATATTTAAAGTTGGCACAACATAATAAAATTAAGCAATTCTTTAGACCCCATTTGATGAATACTAAAAAATCTAAAGTTGGTATGTCAATATCATTAAGCATACCTTCAGATTAATGTTGAAAATCTAAAGATGGCTGACATAATCACACCATGCAACCCTTCAGATTGTAACATGATGTTTTACTTAAACATTTAATTTTTTTCTACTATAGGATACTCTGTGATTTGTTTCTTAATGATTTCAACCATTATCACAATTAGTTTGGGTTATGCTTGGTAAGCTACTATTTTTATTGAACAATATTTCTCTATGACAAAAAAGGAGAGTCAACTTTGTTTCGCTTTGGAAGAGACAAATTTAACACATTTGTTTTGCTTTGGATGAGATGATTTTAACACATTTATCACATGCTTTTTCAGCTTTTGGACACATTATCAAGCTGAATGAATAGTGAGTTTTTATATTGCTCTAATTTGTATCAATTGTTATTATCTAGTCCTTGCCTCGGTAGGCAATACCTGAGCTAATATTTTTTCCTCTCTTTCAATCTAGTATGTTTTTTTATTGCATGGCTTCATAAGTATTTTCTTTTTGCTATTATTTTTTTTTATTTACATGCGTATTAAAGCTATGAAAAAAATAAAATTTGGAGAAATGAAAATTAGGATATGAAAGATATAAATAAAATGTTGAATATATATTTTTTATTTGTAATGTGATCGTAAAGTTTTAATTTATTAGTTATTTGTTTCATAATAATGATTTGCAGTGATTAAGAATTTGTGATTCAAGCTTCAAATTTTTATTACATTTATATTATAATTTGTAATAATACAGTTGAAGCAATAATTTTTTGTAGAAAATGTTTTTTTTTTTTGATAATTTCATTATAAATAATTAAATTTCTTTTTCTTTATATTTTTTCAACTCATTTCGAACCAAACACGAACTAAACACAAACAATTCGAACTATTCGAGCTAAATTCAAACTTGAACCGAACACAAGCAACTATTTCACGAACAATTTCAAACACAAGTCTATATCAAACATATACAATTTCAAACGAGCTGAACAAAAACAAGAGCTCAGCCTGTTCATGTTCGACTCATTAACACCCCTAAGTACTAGTTGTTCGTTTGAAATTTTCTCTGTTATGTATATTATTTAACCAAGTATTAGTTGGTACCCATGCAACTTGCATACTTCAATATTTTATTTGTGTAAATAATAGCCTCATGGCTCGAAAAAATCATTTGCTTTGTGCCCCTTCAGGGTTACTCGGATTGCATTACATCACCCATTAGTCCCACGTCGTGAACTTCTCAAAACACATCTAACTCATGCTCCTTAAATAGTGAATCCTCACTATTCCCACATGCATTCCATGCTTGAGCTTGACTAGGTGTTTGGGCTAAGTGGATGTGACTATGGAAAAATTTAAAATAAAAATAAACTTTGAATTATAATAAATTATTATTTCAAGCTGAACAAGGGCTAAATACGAATAAATAAATTTAAATCAAGCTGAACACAAACCCATACAAATTGTATGAGGTTTGGGGCATTTGCATGCATTACCATAGAGTTCTCATCTATTTATATAACTAATGACTAAATATTCATATTTATTTGTATACCCCTCAACTTATTAAGATCACATAAAAAAAATATCACTTTCACTTTCTTCTAAAAGTGAATCATATATTTTCATACACAATTTATGATAAGAAGGGTTATAAATGTAAATATCAAACTTTTGATGTTAGATATGTAAATACATGAGAATGTTGTGGTTTGTATGTAAATTTGTTTTTTACGCTTGTGCTCGTGTATCAGATCACGATAAGTTTCGGACAAAAGCTTAGGTTTGTATTAGCATCAAGAGCATTCCAAGTAGGGAAGAGACGTTAATTGGTGTGGGCGCAAACTGCGAAGAGGGAGAAGCCGAGTACGTTTCAGGAATCGCTCAGGAACCTTGCAACGCTGCAAAAGCCCTAGGGTTTATTACCCGCTTTCCTCTATAATCCCCGAAGTTTCTAGATCTTGACTTCAAAACACCGGCGGCAGTGGCAAGGTTTGGCATCGCATTTTCTTTGTGTTCTGCGGCTCCTTTTCTTGTGAGCTCCATTCTATTTTTGAATCGCATCTTTCAAATTCCATGTTCTTTGGTTTCTAGGAGCTGATTTACTGGAATTCGCTGCGTTGGGGTGTTTAAAGTTTGGATCTTGCTCGGGTTTAAATGGCTTTATGTAATGATTCATGTGATTTGCCTAGGGTTTCGATTGATTGTGGATAGTTGATTTGAGAGTCTTTGTGGGTGTAAGAGGCCGGTTGGTCTTCTGACTGTGGGTTGGGATGAATAGCGTTTTCAGCGAGCAGATACTGGCGGACAAGCTTTCCAAGCTCAACAGCACACAGCAATGCATCGAGAGTATCCTTTCTCTCTGTGATATTGTTTCTTCACTTATTTGGCATGAATTCTCGCTCTTTTGAGCTTAATTTATCTTTCAATGCTACTTCTGTTCGGATGCCCGCTCTTGTTTGGCTAACAACAGTAGTTTTATCTCTTAGGAGCCATCTTTGATTTGGAAAATTTTTGCTTCTTTGGTAGAATTTTCATCCCACAGGAGCATAATACTTGGTCTTTTGTTTCCTTGCTTGTTTTCTTTGTTGATTTGTATGATTCTCAGAAGTTTCTTGCTACATAGAGGAGCTTAACTGAGCTCACTCACCAAAACATCAAAAAGAGATGTTTGCAACATTACATAACGCTCAAATTAAATGCCCCAGTATTGGAAGATTTACATATATACAATTCAATTCTTATGTATTACATGTCTAACACCCAAACTTCAATTTTTACATACATTCCACCTTACCTATTTCATGAAAAGGTGCATTTCACTTTGTAACAGTTAAAAAGGTGGCATTTTTTATAGCATTTGAAAGATTTGGATGGTAAAATGTAAGGAGTAAAGTTTAGGTGTTAGATATGTAAACACATAGTTCTGATGAATAGCAGCGACGGAAAATTGAGTATATATTCTCTTTCATGCTATTTTAATGTTCATCCAGACATAACGTTAACTAGCTTTTGAAAAATTAGTTCAAAGTGCTATTTTTGACTAAGGTATAACTTTCTCTCTTTGCCATGAAGAAAGCTTCCTTGACTTACTTTCACTACTAGCTTTGTCCCATTGGTGTATTTTTCATCGTAAAAATGCAGAACAGGTGGTTCAGACATGGGAGAAGCAGTTTCACAGCTCCACCAAGGAACATAAAATTCCATTTCTATATCTTGCAAATGACATTCTTCAGAATAGTAGGCGCAATGGTATGGAATTTGTGGGTGAGTTTTGGAAAGTGCTTCCATCAGCACTTAAAGATGTTACTGAAAATGGCGATGATCATGGAAAAACTGTGGTGTCCAGATTGGTGAGTATCTTTCCAATTTGTTTTTTGCAAAAAAAAGAAGTGTTTTTGTTGCACTTTCCTCTACTATTTGCGCTGGTTTTTAATTAAAGTTTTGAACTTTACCAATGATGCAATGGCTAGCATTAATCATGATGCACATTTGCTTGCGTTGACAGTGTAACATGAATCTCTCGCATGAGTGATGGTTCGCTGAAAAGCTACGAATTGTTGTTCTCTCTCTCTCTCTCTCTTATTTATATATATAATTCCTAAATTTTCTGCAACAGTATAGTAACAACAAATGAATAAATCTTAACTTTGAAGTGATAATTCATTGTAGGCCCATGCATCAATTTTATTTAAATTATGATAGGCCTCTTCAAGTACCTTTTATTGGCCAGAAGTTTTTGATTGTGAGCCAAATCCTTTGTATCAAATATGTTGCCTTATGTACAAAGGAAATCAACTTGTAGTAGCTAGCAATAATAGAGACATTTTCAACATGAAACTTGCATCTTCCAAAAAAAAAAAAAAAATTCAAGGAACATTGAAAATCATCAACACTAATTACTAGCTATAGAGTTATTTGTTATGTTGATTCCACAGTTTTTCTTTTCTTATTGAAATAGTACGGAAATGATAGGCTTATTTCTCCTTGATATTTTAAGCTCACTTTTTGCATTATAAAGATAAAGCTTCTATTATAATTGAATTGAATTGTAAGCAATGAGCATTTAAAGTTTGACAATACAGTAATCAGTCACCTTGTGGCTATTGTTGCATCCTAAAATTTTGACCATTTTATACCTCTTACCTTTTACAACTTTAGGTAGAAATATGGGAAGAAAGGCGAGTTTTTGGTTCACGTGCGCGGGGACTCAAGGAGTTAATGCTAAGTTCCGAGCCACCACCTCCGCTACAGTTGAACAAAAAACGCTCTCGTTCTGTTAAGATTGTTAGAAGGGATTCTCGTTCCATAAAAATAGTAAGAGCCCCTGTCTTGTCTTTCATTCAGTGCTGCTTAATGATGATATTTTGTTGGAAGATTTACATACATAACACTCCATTCTTATGTATTTATACTTCAATTTTTTACATATGTATCCTAATCTATGCATTAAAAGGTATACTTAACTTTTTAAAATTTAAAATAGTGATATTTTTTATGTGATATTAAAGATTTGGTTGGTATAAATGTAAAAGAGTAGAGTTTAGATGTTAAATATGCAAATACATATTTATGTAAATGCCCCTGTTTTGTTTAGTCTAAACTGAGGGCCTCTTGAAACAGAAACTCTCTGTTGGAGGAACAGCTGAAAAGATTGTGTCTGCATTCCACTCCGTGTTAGGCGAGCTTCCAAATGAAGATGCAGATCTCAATAAATGTAAGTCTATAGTTCGAAGAGTTGGGAAGATGGAGAAAGATGTTGATGCTGCCTGCGCTCGAGGTATTATTTTCCTTACAAATCAGTTTCCCTTTTTTGCAAAATTAATTTGATTAAATTTTTTCAGTATCTCTTGCGTTTATTTTCTGAAATTTTGACCCGGTTTTAGTTGGGGATCCTCACCGCACAAAATTGGCTGAGGAATTGCAGGAAGAGGAGAATTCTTTGAAAGATTGTATTGAAAAACTCAAATCAGTCGAAGCAAACAGATTGACACTAGTGTTGCAGTTAAAACAAGCGCTCCAAGAACAGGTATGTATTAATAGCTTGCAATTTTGAGTTTGTTTTTAGTTATGAATTTGCACTTTCATCCTCTTTTCTAAGCTTGAATTTTTGTTCAGGAATCTGAACTGGAGAACATTCGCACGCAGATACAGGTTTGTCATTGATTTCCTTTTAAGACCCGTATGTGTACTCTTGCAAATTTGTCTCAAGAAAATTTATTTTTTGATTTATTTGCTTAACAAAATTCTGATTTTTCTACAACTTTTATTATTCTTGTTCCAATTCTAATCTTATTTATAGAGTAATGTGTAAAAATAGTTCCTGACTGTTTACATGGGTCATTTTGAGTCCCAAAGTTTATAAAAGTTTCAAATTAGTCCCTCGACTCTTGGGGCTGAAATGGTCATCTGTGGAGAGATCTTAACCCATATCAAAACAGTGTGGGGACTAAACTGGCACTTTATACAGTATGGGACTAAAATAACCTCCTGTAAAGATTCAAGAGACTATTTTGACACTTTTCTCTATTTATATTTATGCTATGCTGTATTAATGGAAACTTTGAGAATTGGATGAAGTTGCTTGAGCTCTGACCACTACCAGATTGGTTTTGTATTCAACTTAGCTGTTGCTAATTAATTAGTTTAACGTAAGTATTACAATTAACAAAGGGCAATTCACCAAGCTGGACTTATTTTTTTTAATTCGATTTTTCTTTGAAGTGTGAAACAATATGAAAAAGGATCATTTACAACTATACCACACAATTCTTATGTATTTACATATCTAACGCCTTAACATTCTATTTATTCGCATACCTCTCAAATCTTTAACATCACATGAAAACACCACCTTTACTATCGTTTTAAATTGAAATACACCTTTTCAAGCATAGATTTATGATACCAATGTGTTATAATTATAAACATCATATTTTGGATGTTAGATATGTAAATACATAAGAATTGCATGGTTTGCATGTAAATTTCCTTATAAAAAATGAGTTTGAAAAGCTTAAATCAAATCTGTTATGAACAAAGATTTCGTTTTCTTCCCGTCACAGGTCGCACAAGCGCAAATAGAACAGGCCATCAACATGCGAAAGCGACTAAACAACGAGTCACCAACCGTTCCACCCAAACCCGATTCGAACGGTGTGGCATCTGAGCCTCCGAAGAAATCTGCAGCCGCCATTGCTGCCGAGGTTGCCGACAAGCTCGCCGCATCCACACATTCCCAACAAATCATGACTTCTGTCCTCTCCACCTTCGCCGCCGAGGCAGCTAAAAATGCCGTGTTGACTACGTCGTCATCCTCTGCTGGCAACCCATCATCCGCTCCGAAGAACAATGTGAAGCACGAAAAAGCAATGATATCTGGGCAGCCAACAACCCCTCTGCCTCAATATAATTTATATCCCGCTCCAACTCAGCAATACATTCAGCCTTCCAGCGTGATGATTGGCGTACCATATACATATACGACAATACCTCCACTGCCGCCACCGCCGCCTCAAATGATGAGTATTTCGAGACCGATGGCGCCATTGCCCGTTCAGCAGCAACAGCCGATGCAGCCGCTTCAGCCGCCACCAATGGCTTTGGTTCATCAGCCGGCGATGCCCATTGCCATACAACAGTTGCCGATGCATATGAATCAACAACCAGGGCATTTCGGGCTTTTGCAACCAGCGCCGCCAAGTTACAGGCCGCTGCAACCACCAAATATGGGGTTCTACCATCATCAGACACAGTGAAAGCTGACAATGTAAAACTCATTTTTCTTAGATGTTTTCCTGATATGTTACATGAAGATGAAATTTTTTTTTTCATTGGTGGGAAGATATATGCTATTGTGCAGGTTGGTTCATTGATGTGTTTGTGTAATACAAGCTTAAAAAGCTCTGTGAGGACATCTGCCTCCATTAATGAGCCGTCGAAGCACTCATTATTAATATTTCGATGTGCTTATCATCGAAAAACACGAAAAATTTGAGCTTTGAATGTTTCAGAGCTCCGATTATAGGCGAAGGTATGAAAATATACATCACTTATTTGAATTACATTTGGATGCAGTTGCAGTGTGATAATTGAAATTGTTAGTGTTAGGTAAATTTGTTATTTATAGCTATTTGATTTGAATTATGACAAGTTGCTTTAGACTATAGACATAAAGATTATAGTTTGTTTAGGATTTCATTCTGCAGTTTTTGGAGATGATAATTGAGGTTTTCAGTCTGTTAAAAATTGAAGAATTGGGCCAAGTTGTAAACAATTTCTTGTGATTTGTCAAGTTAGAGCTTTGCATGAGTTTTGTATTGAGATGAATAATGAATCATTGTTTGAGAGGTTTTAGGACTTTTAGGAGTTATATGTTATAGATTTGAATGCTATGGATGTGAAGTATGAAATTTTAGGTGTTAGATTTGTAAATATGTATGAATTGTGTGGTATGTATGTAAATTCAGAGTTTTGGATGGCACGGCAGGGCTAAATTAGAAGGAAAGAGAAGGATAAATGCTAGAATATAAATGCTTTAAATTATCAATCATCAAAATTCAAAACATAGCAAATTATATTTGGTAAATCTGATTGTAAAATGTTAATTTTGATTAAAGAAATATTTACAAACCAGAACAATTTTTCTGTATTTTCATGTCTTCACATCCAAAGTTTGGTTTTTACATTTATAGCACCTTGTTGCAATTGTAGGGGTGTAAACGAGTCGGACACGACCGAGCCTGGCTCAGCTCGTTTTCGACTCGTTTGTATTTCGAGCTTAAAAAGTGTGTTTGTGTTCGGCTTGTTTGCTTAGCGAGCCGAACATGAGCTGTTCACGAGCAAAGAGTTTTAAAACATCATTTGAATCTAATTTAATAATTTTCATTCTGTTTTCTTAACTAATACTTTTAATTGATTATAAATCTTTGCAGCCTTGTAGTTATATATATATAATTGATTAGTAGTATTTTGAGTCAAAAATAAGCTCAACACGAATGAATAAATATTGTTCGTGTTCGGCTCGTTAACTTAGCAAACGAGCCGAACACGAGCAGTTCGTGAACGAGCCGTTTTGACAGCCCTATGCAATTGTGTATTTCATTTTCAAAAAGATGGTGAGATGATATTTTTGATGCAAGGTTAAGGATTTGAATGATATGTTAATATGAATGTTTAGGTATTATATATGTAAATATTTAAGAAATTGTGGGGTATGTATGTAAATGCTAAACAGTGAAAAAATTGTCTCAAATGTACCCATTTGTGAAATTGGATTTATAGCTTCAAGAATTGCTCTCTTCAATTAATTCGTTGAACAGTAATGCTATTTTTAAAATATTTCTTATTTACATTTGACTAAGGAAATCTAAAACTGATCAATTAGCATGTGTGATTGAATGCATCTCCTACCATCTGGACCCCGACCCCGCTACCTTCTTTGACGCCGACCTCGACGATAGAGAAAATATTAGGTCAGGACTCCGGATATGGTAGCGACACGTGTAAAGTGGACCAATCACAGTGTATTGTGATGGGTCTACTTTACACGTATCGTTAGGGCTGTAAACGAGCCGAGCTTGAGCGAGCTCAGGCTTGACTCGTGTTCGGCTCGTTCGAAATAGCTCGTGTTCGAAATCGGCTCGTGAACAGTGTGTTCGTGTTCGGCTCGATTTAAATATTTGTGTTCGTGTTCGGCTCATGTTAGGCTCGAAATTGGCTTGTTAAACTAAATTTGAGAAAAATAGATGTAAAGTGTGAGATTCGAACTTGAATCAAATCTATACAAAAAAAACACTGACCACATTGCCACATGAGGTGTTATTATTTAAATTTAGACATAAATATATATAATATATTATTATATAAATAATATATATGTAATATATTGTTATATAAACAATTATATAATTTTTTTTTTCGAGCCATTTTGAGCCGAACACGGGCGAACAAACTGTTGTTTGTGTTCGACTCGTTTACATTTCGAGCTTAAGAATTTGTTCGTGTTCGGCTCGTTAGACTTAACGAACGAGCCGAACACGAGTTGTTCACGAACAACGAGCCAAATTGCCCTACGTATCGTCTTCTTATTGGAATCCGGATGATCCAGAGTCCCGACCTAATATCTTCCACCGACGATGATGCCTTCAATGACATCCATTTATCTGCATTAAGCCTAGTGAAGTGCCATTTCTTTTTTATGTATTTATATAACTAACACCTAAAATTTAATTTTTATTTTTATACTACCCAAAATTTTCATATCATAGAAAAAATATATATTATTTTATTTTTGATAAGAATGCAATGCACATTTTCATGCATGGATAAAATTTGTAAATTTTGAAATTTTGGTGTTACATATGCAAATATATAAAAATTGAGTGGTAAGAATGTAAATCATTTCTAATAGAAAAATTTTAGAAATAAAAGTAAATGGGACGCCGGCGATGGGGTTTGAGAACAAGGAAGTCGCCGGAGCCGTGGTGGAGGAAAAGGTGGATGCGGTGGTGGAGGTGCAGGGGATAATTTTATTTTTTTGTTTTTATTTATTTATGCTGAAAAGAACAATTATAATTTTTTTTTTTTGAAAAAAATTCAAGTATTATTAAACATGTGTTTGTTTTATGTTAAAAATAAAATAAAAATAAAATACATTAACAATAAAAGTTAGAGTGAATAAAAATTAAATAAAATAGTAATATAAAATAAAAATATTATTAAAAATAAGAACGATGACTTCAAACCTAATAACATGATAGTTGGAGAGGGAAAAAATGTATTGTATCAGGAGTTCTGATACAGTTTTGCATCAAGATTCCAATCAGGGTCTGTCATGTATGTAAAGTGGACCAATCACAGTGTATTGTGATGGGTCTACTTTACACGTATCTCCTCCTTATTAGACTGAATGATTTGGAATCTTGACCTAATATTTTCACCTTTTTAAGGCTTCCTCTAAGACTGATAGGGATGATTTTAGAGTAATGGAGTACGTACAACGTACTGGTTAATTAGGAAGCTTCCCGGCAATGGAGTTGCGATTCATGTGACCTCCGGCAATGGATAAAAACTAAGCAAAGCACGTGCTCATATAAAGATAGAAGTGGGCAATACTGGAAATACAAAAAAGATAGACTGTTACACTAATGAGAATAAATTACACCAGTAAATATTATGCACATGATCTAATGTTTATGTTAATGTAATGAATAATTCCAATAAAATGAATTATGTACTAAATAATGAAGGTATGTTATGCTAATAAATATATAGATTCTGACTTAAATTATAAGGACTTGCTCTCAAATTTATATCATAATACATAATTATAATATTTATATGTCACTTTAATTATTCTAACATATCCTCCATCCAATAACTAAGCTGCGTATGAGAGAACAATTTTGTCTTTTGCCCCTCATGAAATAAAAACTTTGCCCCATCTAGAATATCATTTTACCCTTTGTTGTCCTAGCCCCTCGTAAGTTGGGTCTAAGGAGCAGTTTGTCTCCCTCAAAAAAGAGATTGATTTCGCTCCTGATAAGAGCAATGGATTGAATTATCTTATTTAGTGCAAATTTCATAAGGGTAGGGGTTGCTTAGTGGGTAGGGATGTAACAATTTGGCCAGATACGCCCCAACTCGAATCACACTCGACTCGAAAAGTTTAAAATTGAGTTTGGGTTTGAGTTAAGAAGCAGAACACATTTTTTGGGTTAAGTTCAGGCCAACTATCTCAACACATTTTTTGGGGCATGTTCAAGTTGAATTGCCAACACGAAATTTAATTGTCCACACATAATTGACACAAATTTTATTCAAAATTCACTCAAACATATGTTATGCATAAATTAAACGGGATACATTGTTCGAGTTAGGGTTAGTCGGGTTGAATTCAGGGTAGACTTTTTGAGTAAGAGTGTAAAAATCGGGCTTGAGCTAGCCAGCTTATTGTTTATCTCGTTCAATTTGTATTGTTTGAAATAATCTCGTGTTTGAAATGGCTCGGAAGGTATAACATATTTGTGCTCGAATCGTTTCAAATTGGTTTGTCCGTTTCAGCTTGTGTTCGACTCAAATTTAGCTTGAATAATTTAAAAAATAAAAAATTAATTTTTTTAATTATTTAATTAACTATAACCAAGACAAGCCCTACACGGTCAAATAAAAATTTGTTCATATTTGACTCATTTATAAATCGAGCTTAAAAAGTTATTTGTGTATGTCTCGCCTGCTTAGCAAATAAATTGAACCTGAGCTAGTTAGCAAGCCGAAGACCAATCGGTCGAGCTCAATAACCCTTTTTGAAAGCTCTATTTCTAACCCGTTTAATATTTGGCTAGAGTTTAAATCAAATATTTTCCAATCGAATCAATTTCAAGTCAAACCCAAACCCACATGTGAACTCAATTTAACACCTCAAGTCAAAATCAAAGAGTTTGGCCCCATAAATATTTTTAATTCAGGGGTCACTTTTGACAGGGATATATAATAACACAAAATAAACAAGCAAAAAAAAAATCTAATAAATAAAACCTATTTTTCTTTCCCTGCACTTGTTGCGAGACACTACAAATTTCAAACATTTTACTATTAAACTCAAACTAAGTGTACGCACTAGTTGCTAACCATACGAGACTTTCAAACGTATGACTATCATTAAGATGAAAATACTTCTTCAAATTCTTCCAAATAAGCCATCAACAAATTAATTGTTGTGCAACTTAAAGAACAATCTTAATAGTCTCTCTTAAACCCTTCTTCATGTCCGACATGAAGGCCAGATGTTGCAAATCATACCCAATAGAAGCTAACAAGCATTCTAGAAATCATTTTCAAGTGGTTTTTGACTCAGATTCGACAACTATGAAAGCTAAAATGAATAAATCATTTTCATCATGTAATGAAATTGAAGCTAATAAAACACCCAAGTATTTTGGCTTTAGATGATATGCATCCAGCCTAATCAGAGGCCTGTAACTTAATGCAAACTTTAAAACTTACAAAAATCTTTTGTAAGAATGAAAAAGTGCTGCAAGCATAAACAATATATGATCCTAGTTCTCTGCTAATCAACTCTGCTTGTATGGC